TGAGATGGAGTCTCACTCACTCTGTCATCCAGGCAAGAGTGCAGTGGTGTAATCTCAGCTCACTGCAACCTCCACCTCCTGGGTTCAAGTGATTCTTGTGCCTCATCCTCCTGAGTAGCTGGAATTATAGGCAGGTGCCACCACCCCCAGCTAAATTTGTAGTTTCAGTAGAGACGAGGTTTCACCATGTTAGCCAGGCTAACTCCTGGCCTCAAGTAATCTGCCCGCCTCAGCCTCCCAAAGTGCTGGAATTACAGGCATGAGCCACCACACTCAACCTATTATGACACTTTCTTGGCATCTTCAAAACATCATTGTAATAATATGTTGCTAACTTTATTTCAATGCTATATATCCCAATATATACATATGGACTGAAAAGGAGAAGTAGCACTTTTGTCCCCTTCTTAAGTGTGAGATAAAGCATTGCTACACATACTCACACACATCAATGGCTCCTCAGTCATTCTCCCCAAATACTTCTTCTTTTGTTGATCATTTCCAGCAATAATAACGGGAATTTCCTACCAAAGAAATTTGACATTAAAAAGTCAAGTCATTTTTATTAGATGCGTAAATTCAAAGATGCTATAATTCAAAATGAAAGAACTATTTTTCACCCAAGAGGTAAGTCCAAAGAACTGGACTATACCTTGCCTCTAAGTTAGAGAGCTAAAACTATGAGGAAATAAATCTGCTAATCTAAGCATTTTCATAAAATTATCTGTAGGACTCGTGGCATTATAATCTGTGAAAATCTACTACGGTAAAATGCACAAATAAAAAATTATGTTTAGAATATGTGACATGTATAATTAGGCCTAAGAATTATTTGCTAAATTTCAGTACTGCCAGTAGAGGCAGCAAGCCATCTCAATCCTGCTCCTGAATGCTGGATTTAGCCCTTGGCTTTACCTAAGAATTGCCACTGAAGCTGCAGCCAAAGTATACAGTTTCCTCACAAATACAGTCAGAACTCCAAGTACTAGACACAACAAGGTCAGAGTGATCAAGCCTTCAAATCAGAACTCCAGGCTTCAATGCTGAATTTTGCATTCCTTTTTAAAGAAAACTGTGTTTACCCATTAACCTAACCTAGTAGTAACTGACTCTTTCTTTTTTTAATTTTAAAATCCAGCTTGTTTGGGAGTAACTATCTCATTAACAAGGGCTCAGTTAGGTAATTAATTTTCTAAGTAACTTACCCCCAAAGAATTTGCCTCAATAGCAGTCTGAACCCCTGTACATCCATAAGCCAATTCTTCAGTAATTAAACAAGCATCAAAAGTTCCAAGTCCAAGACCTCCTACAGTATCAAAATGTTTTAACACATTATAATATGTAGTGCATCATGATAGAAATAAAGGTAAATGATTTTAATTGCTTTCAATATGACACAGAATTTGTTTTAAAAGGAAATTCAAAATATAATATCTACACGTGTTCTGGCTGGCACAATAAGAAATTATACTTTTCTAAGACAAGCTCTAAAATTTTCAAAAACATACTATTTGTAACTTGATCCTATATTCCTGTTCTAACTTGATTCTGTTAAAACTCAATTCAGCCGAGCGAGGTGGCTCATGCCCGTAATCCTAGCACTTTGGGAGGCTGAGGTGGGTGGATCACCTGAGGTCAGGAGTTCAAGACCAGCCTGGCCATCATGGTGAAACTCCATCTTAAAAAAAAAAAAAACTCAATTCAACTCCAAAACTGGGTCTGAGGAAAAGAATGATAGTTCACAAAAAAGACTCAATAAAATTGAATATAGAAGGTAGGATTAAAATGCAACAAATTGGCTGGGTGCAGTGGCTCACGGTTGTAATCCCAGTACTTTGGGAGGCTGAGGCGGGAGGATCACCTGAGGTCGGGAGTTCGGGACCAGCCTGACCAACATGGAGAAACTTCATCTCTACTAAAAATACAAAATTAGCTGGGCATGGTGGCGCATGCCTGTAATCCCAGCTACTTGGGAGGCTGAGGTAGGAGAATCATTGAACCCAGGAGGTGGAGGTTGCCGTGGGCCGAGATCGCGCCATTGCACTCCAGCCTTTGCAACAAAGTGAGACTCAGTCTTTGAAAAAAAAAAAAAAAAAAAAAAAAAAAAAAAAAAAAAAAAAAAAAAAAAAAAAAAAGCAACAAATTGACCAACTCTAGAAACAGAAGTTACCAAAGTTTAGGTGCAAGTTAAGGTCGGAACCAGTTAGAAGAAGGAAAAATGCATCTAAGTATGGAGTACAAGTTTCCAAAAGCAGGCAAACATTGTAGGCTAAGCAGGAATACAAAGGATTTGAAAAAAATGACTGAGTAGAGTTCCATAATTTTTCCTAATCATATGCATTCCAGTATTAAAAATATAAAGAAAGCTTACCACAATTCTCTGGAATGTGTGTATTCATTAAACCAAGTTCCCAGGCTCTTCTAATTAGGGGGACTGGATACTAGGAGAAAAAGGAAAGAACTGAGTTATAATATATTTTAAAATCCAGAGAGTTTGATTACATAACCTTATAAAAAATATAAAAGATTTTTCTCTCTTTAAAAGGTGTATACCCACTTCACCAGTTTTATCATATTCTGCAGCAACTGGGATTATTTCCTCTCTGGCAAATTTACGAGCAGTAGCTTGAAATTCTTTCTGCTGTTCGGTGAGCTCTAAGGGAAAGTTATTTAGAAAAGGTTAAAATTGGATAACAAGTTAAGGAAAAATGTCCTATGGAGTCAGCATATGTAAATATGTATTTATAGTGGGGACTTAAACCCTTGATTAATCCGAAAGTCAGACTACAGTGCATTTTTTGACTAATCAAGAGTTCACTACACAACATAAATAAACCTATGTCAATACAAATGCTAAAGGAAATAGGTAAGATTTCTAACTTTTACAAATGAGTAATAGATTTTAACCCATAGAGCTCAAGTGAGCTTTTCTTTTCCAATTGGTGATATTAAAAAGATTTAACTTATTATTAGTTCCTAAGCCTATTTATCAAATGTTTACTAACACTGAAGTGAAGCTAACATAGAAGATATATCCCCAATCACAAAAATCAATCTAATAGATGAAATACAGTGACCATAAAGCAATAAAACTTATTTCAAAGTGTCATTTAAGAATATCAGTATCATAATTTTCATTTTACCTTTTTTTCTTTTTGAGACAGTCTCACCTTGTCATCCAGGCTGGAGTGCAGTGGTATAATTACAACTCACTGTAGCCTTGACCTCCTGGCCTGAAATGATCCTCCCACCTCAGCCTCTCAAAAGCTAGGACCACAGGCACATGCCACCATATCTGGCTAATTATGGTAAGTTTTATAGAGACAGGATTTTGCCATGTTACCCAAGCTAGTCTGGAACTCCTGGGCTCAAATGATTCGACCATCTGTGCTGGGAGCCACCTTGCCCTGTCCTTTTTTTTTTT